GAGCTGCCAGGAGGAAGCCCCAGCTCCTGTTCCCTTGCCTCAAGGTCCCACCAAAGACGACCACCCCCTTCTTCCTGCGCGTGGCGTGGCCAGGCAGCTGTGTGCACAGGCCCGCTGAGGCCCGCTGGCCAAGCCCCCACACCCCCTGCCGGCTGCAGACCTGGGGCCTGACGCTGGCCCCTCGGCTTCCCCTCCCCGGCTCCACAGAGCTCTCCCAGTTGCAGGCTCTGCTTCCTTGAACTTCCAAAGATAAATAAATAGTGACTGCAGATGGAAGGAGGGAGCGGGACCGGGCTGCCCCAGCGGGAGCCCTGGGCGGGTGGGCAGCAGTGCATTCCTCAGGAAAGGGCAGAGCCGGGCAGGGCAGCCTGCAGCAGCAGGGACGGCTTTCTCCTGGGGGAGGGCGAGGGGCAGGGGCCCCTGGCAGGGGCCGCTCAGCTTTGCCGTGATTGCCTTTTGCTGAATGCTGAGACGCAGAAGGAGCTGGAAAGGAATTCCGCCAAATGACATTGAGTGATGCCAGGCTCCCGGCGGCCTGGTGGAGATATGGACCAAACACTCCTGTCCTGTGGGGTCCTTGCCTTTGGCTTCTACACCCACTGGGGAAGGCTGGTGGGGCGGAGTCCTCTCCCATTTTGCAAGTGCAGATAAGGAGACAGAGCTACTGCGGCCAGGAGCTCAGAGTCCAGGGGTGGGTACTTGTCCTCTGATTCCTTCCTAAGTGCTCCTATGGGTGCCTGTCCGCAGCCATACAAGGAGCGAGTGAGCAGCCGCCCAAATCTTGTTTTCAGGTTTCTTTGTGGTCATCGGATGACCTAACCCTAGTTTCAACTCAGAGAACGTATCCTGGGGAGCCCGACCAATGAAATACACTGATGGGAGATGCTAAGCTCTTCACGGCGGTGGGGATAAGGTGCCATGGTAACAGACTGAGGCCGAATGGTGTCTGACCAGAGCATGGGACAAAGGCTTAGCACAGGTTGTGGTGCAACCTGGAAGTGCAGCCCACCTGTGTCTCTGGTCCCTCAGGGGCTGGGGGCTTGCATGCACTGTCTTCCTCCTGCAAGAAATTTACCTTTGCCAGGTGATAGCTGCCCCTGCCCTCACTTGGGCTGGAGCACACAGAGCTCCTTGCAGGAGTCGTAGAGAGAACCAGCACCTACCAACAGCCCACTATGCACTAGGCACTATTAGAACCCGCTCCTCTCAAGAACGAGCTCATTTGCTCCTGATCAAGACCCAGCTGCTCCACTTCCAGTCCAGCTCCCTGCTATCGCACCTGGGAAAGCAGCGGAAGCCAGCCCAAGTGCTTGGGCCCCTGCCAACCGCGTGGGAGACCCGGATGGAGTTCCAGGCTCCTAACTTCAGCCTGGCCCAGCCCCGGCTGTTGTGGCCATCTGGGGGAGTGGATCAGCAGATGGAAGATCTCTGTCTCTCAGTCTCTCTCTCTGTCTCTTCCTCTCTCTTGCCACCATCCTGCCTTTCAAACAAATAAAATCACTCTTAAAATAAAAATAAATACCTAGCGGCGCCGGCATACCGGGTTCTAGTCCCGGTCGGGGCGCCGGATTCTGTTCCGGTTGCCCTTCTTCCAGGCCAGCCCTCTGCTGTGGCCAGGGAGTGCAGTGGAGAATGGCCCAGGTGCTTGGGCCCTGCACCCCATGGGAGACCAGGAGAAGCACCTGGCTCCTGGCGCCTGCCATCGGATCAGCCGGCCACGGCGGCCATTGGAGGGTGAACCAACGGCAAAAGGAAGACCTTTCTCTCTGTCTCTCTCTCACTGTCCACTCTGCTTGTCAAAAAAAAAAAAAAAAAAAAAAAAAAGAATGAGCTCACGCGGACCTCAAAATAGGGCCATGGAGGATTGCTTCAGCAGGGGGCGCTGTGGGAGACCCCTGAGTGTGAACAGGTATCCAGTGTCTGGTATCCGGGAGCGGTGGCTAGGATTTTCCCAGCACCAACAGCCGATCTCTTCTACCCTCTGCCAGAGGGTCTTCCCCAGGCTGCCCAGCTTGCTTGCTTAGGTCTCCTAACTCCCTTCCGGACCTGTCTGCCCATCCCACGACACAGGCTCAGGTCAGTGGTACTGGCCCCTGTGCCACCCCTGCCGCGTTCCCAGGGCCCCGCAGCTGGGGACTCCCTCACCCCAGAATGGCCCTCCTGGGCCATGCTGCCAGCTCTCTTCCCTGTCCTGCAGCTCCCTCGGAGACAGCCGCCAGTCCTGTGGGACCTTCCTGCTGTGCGCTCCCCACGACAGAGGGACAACGCTCATGCCTCAGCCAGAAGGAATGAATCAGGATGCGGAGAGCTGCGCAAATATTTGGGCCTGCGACGGTTTCTCTTTGGTGGTCAGGTTTCACCACATACAAGGTACCCGTGTATGATTTAGACATCACCACGGAAAAACGTCATCATTTCTGCTTCTTTAAGTGAAATCTGCTCACGTTCTCCCAGCCCATGGAGTCTACTTCATTATGAGTGATGACTGCATTATGAGTGAACCCAGGGGCCCAGCGCCCAGATGCTAAAGCTGATTCAGGTCCTGGTTCTCCATTTGACCTGTCACAAATCACTTAATGCCACTCGGCCTCAGTTTTCTCATCTGTGAAATGGAAGCTAAAGCAGCCTAGTTGGTATTTATTTATTTATTTATTTATTTTTGATTAAAACATCAGCCAGTACTTCATTCTGTGTTCTGACGGACTGAGTAGAGAACGTTGGTGTTGCAGAAAGCAAAAAACGAATTGGTCATTGCAAAGTTCTTTTCCTTGTTGAAGGCGAAAGCAGAGGAGATGTTGGCTGTGCCAGGCCTGCCTGGGGATCTGGCTGTTATCTCTCTGGCTCCTGATTTCTGGGAAGGTCAGATAAGCAGTTCAGTTTCAGCGGGGGGCCCCCGATGCGAAACTTCAGCTCCAGTCTTCCTGTCTGCTCCCCTGGCTCCTGCAGGAGCCCAGGCCAGACCCGGGCCTCCCATCGGATCTGTTCAACGGCGGCTTCTACCTTGGAGTGTCTGTGTGGTGTGACGCAGGCCTGTGTGGTCTTTGGCCCTGATTCCTAACGCGGCTTCCTAACTCGGAATTTCCTGAGTGATAGGAGTGGTTTTTGTTATTCCTGCAAATCCCTTTCTAGCCTCAACCAGTTTATACTGATGAGGGTGGGAGTGTCCCCCCCCCCCCCCCCCCCCCCGCCACCCAGAGAGGGCCCAGATTGGGGGAAGAACACTTTTTTCTCCGCAAGCCCCCCTTGATGTTTTCACACCATTGTGGGGGGGTGTGACATTAGCATCTTCAAAATTAGCCATGGAGCCTGGCACAGCGGGTTAAGCCACCGGCAACACCGGCATCCCCTAGGAGTGCCATTTGGAGTTCTGTCTGCTCCTTTTGCCTTCCAGCTTCCTGCTAATGCGCCTGGGAAAGCAACAGAAGATGGCTCAAGTGCTTGGCTTGGGCCTCTGCCACCCACATGGGAGCCCCAGACGCAGGTCTAGGCTCCTGGCTTCAGCCCGGCCCAGCGTGGCCATCGTGGCCATTTTGGGAGTGAACCAGTGATGGAAGACCTCTCCATCTCCCTTTTCCTCTCCCTCTTGCTCCCGCCCCTCTCCCTCCCTCTCCCAGCTCTGCCTTCCAAATAAGTGAAGTAAATCGTTCTTTCCTAAGAATTAGCCTGCTACAGATGTATTGAATGTTGAGTGCCAACTGCCGTTGCCTTGGCACGAGCAGACCAGATTTCTTGGGCCGTCTGTGGCTCCCTGGGGCCAGATGTTCCCCACCCCAGGACTGGATTACTGACCTTTGGCAAAGGGGAGGCGGAGCTGGAGACTGAACTGTCAACTCTTGGCCAATAAGACCCAGAGACTGCCAGGTGGGTGAGCACGTGCAGGTGCTGGGAGGGGGCCTGCTCCGTACCCCTCCCATACACCCCCACTCCACACCCACCCTCCCCCAACCCCGTACTTTATCTAGTTAGCTGTTCTGAGTCATAGCCTCAATGACACACCCGCAAACATAACCATTTTCTCGAGTTTTCCGAGCCCTTCTAGCAAATTCTGGAACCTGAAGAGGGGGCTCGGAATGCCAGGTGGGAAATAGCAGGAGGGCCAGGGTCTCTGTCCAGAAGGGCATCAGAGATCCTGGACAGATGAGGTGGTGATGGAAGGGAGGGGAGGTGGAATCCTGGGACACAGGGAAAGTGGAGGCGGGGTGGATTTTCTGACACATAGCAAGTGCTGACCGAGTGCCAAGAATGACCCCTGGGAGGGGCATTTGGTGTAGGGGTGGAGAACCCCATTCAGATATCGGTGCCCAGGTTCAAGCACCAGCTCTGCTTCCGGTTCCAGTTTCCTGCTAACGTGTACCCTGGGAGGCAGCAGGTGATGGCTCAAGTGTTTCAACTGTGGGAGACCCAGATGGGGTTCCTAGCCCTAGCCATTGTGGGCATTTGGGGGAGTGGATCAGCAGAGGGGTGACCTCTGTCTGTCTCTCAAGTCAAGAAATAAACATTTTAGAAAAGAATACCCCCTAGGTGTTTGCCATGACCCATATGGAGAGTGGAACTGTGGCTTACTAGGCTGGAGAAGGTTCTCAAAGGATAAGCTCTGGGGAGGGAACCTGAAAAGTCAGCTGTCGCTGGGCCGGCTGGGGACACTGTGATGAGCAAAGACATGCCGCTGCCCTCCTGCGGCTGGCAGTCCTGTGGGAGAGACGGTTGCTGGACACATGACCTGGGCGCTAGAAACTGTGACAAGTGCCGGGAAGAGGAAGGCGGCCGTGGTTGAGAATAGTGGGGCAGTGGGGGATCAGGGCAGGCCTCTCCAGGAAGGGTCCTAGCCCACCTCCTGCTGCTGTGTTAGAAGCCTGGAACGGAGTCCTTGATAAAGAAGAGAGGTTTAGGTGGCTCCTGGTTCTGCAGGCTGGG